ACATTGTCTGTACAGAGACCTGGAGATGTAGAGTCTGTGCAATGATACTTTAACAAAACTGAAATTGGTTCTTTTCTCAAAATAGGCTTTTTTCCTAATGTATGCCACAGAGAGGGGGAAAAAAAGTGTCATTTTTCAGGGTTTGTTTTCATTTAAATGGATTTTCTTTGCCTAGGTGGGTGGGCACTGAACAAGAATAGCCACTGAGTGTCTCATTCGTGTCTCTCCAGTCTGTTACGCTGACCAGGATCACATACACTACTTTTAGGTATCATTCCAGCAAATGGTAATTTGAGAGTGTAGGCATACAGCATTAATGAAACAGAGTACCTCAGATGACTGTATAGGTTAGCAGATCTTGTTCTGTCCTCATGGCTGCGGAGGCAAAGTCATTGCACGTTTTCCGATCAAGGGGAATGGTTTCTTGCCATACCTCTACAAAAGGTGCTAGAAGCTACAGTTACAATGTAAAAGATAGTGTAAATAACCATCAAGATTGGTTACAATGGATTACACAACGTATTCTTCTAGGATAGGGGCAAGTGGTCCTGCTGAGTACTTAGCGTTGCAAAGATAGTAAGATTAGGCAGACTGGCAGGTGGGAGTCTGGGGAGCAAAGGAGTCACTTTAGGCTGCAGGGGAAACACCAGACATGGCAGGTCAAGGTCATTCATTGGTGTTCTCCACTCAAAACAAAGATCCAAGGTAGGTATTGAAATGAACTGTCATACTTGACAGAGAGTTAACTTTGCAGATCATTCAGGACACATCAAATGATGGTCCATGAGGGTGCTAGAATACAGCAGACAGAGGCTTGAAAGCCCAAGGGATGATGTTGATTATTATTGCACAGTTCAATGAGATTGGTGTTGCTTTTGAATGGTTCCTCTTAGCTATTACTTAGTAGGTTTTGACCGAGAAATACAGGATGAAATATGAACACCAGAAATAGGAACCTACCCAATGTTCCCATGAGATTTGTCATTAGACATGCTTCTTTCAGAAGAGAGTGCTTGGGTTATTCTGTCCAGACAGCAATCTGCTTCTTCCACGTAGGAATTCTTCTTTTTGCTTCAGAGTTACTAAACACATAAGATGCCAAAGGACTTGCTGATGTGAGAGACAAATCCCTATTAGTCTGCCTCTCCCCTGTTTTCCCAAGTGCTGCAAGGAGCAAGAGAATTCTTTTCCTCTGCTTCTTCCTCAAGCCGTCCAGCACACAACTCTGCTCCCAACCATGGCTTCCCCAAGAATCTCCATTGCACTTCAGTGCTGGTACCAAGTTTAGAAAAAGACTGTTGAATTTCCTCCTGCTGATACTGTTTCTAACTCTGAGTAGCAGCAAAAATGCACTGAGGCTGCTTATCTGCGCGTCTTACCAATGAAATTGCATTGAATTTATACAGAGGTCACACTGGGTATTTACAGCTACTTGAAATTATTTACAGTGGACGTTAGGGTTTGTAAGCACTAAATGTAGGTCCCCTCATTCCTCTTGGCATAATGTCTGTTTGTCTGAATTGCGTCTGAAGGTCACACTGCTGAAGGTCCAATTTTCTTACTTTCTGACCTCATTGGCTGCTGGAAGGAGGGTTAAAAATATATGAAAGTGTGGATATCACTCTGAGATTTGTTATAGAAAGAAAAAGATACTTATTGCACACTTTTATTGCCAGTAATTTCTTGGGATAAGAGTTTTCTATCCATATTTCCTGTTGAATCAGTAGAAGAGCTCAAAGAGTGTGCTTACCTTGTGACACAGGCATAATCCTGCAAAAGTGGTGAACATAATATTTAACATTTAAGTGGCTTAAATAACTGGCACATAACACTTCTGATACAGCAAAATGTGAAATATGATTGGATATAAGGATGCAGTTTTTAATTTCTGACTAGGATTGCCTGTAGGAGACTTGCCTGTTCTGCCAGATTGGAGACTGTATCCTGGATTGGATAAAGTCATGAAACTCCAAGAAGGAGATGGACATCAGTGGTCACCTGCGCAAGCTACTGTATATATTTAAGGAAGCGGTTTAGGCAAGTGGTCTTCTGCTCCTCCAATAGAACAAAGCTGCTGTTACTTGAGCAATGCTAACCAGATTATATACTTAATGAAATATCAAGGCATTTAATTCAGAAGTAATTCTTGAGGAAGCAAATCAGGGATACCGAATTTTAGAGGACGTAGTCGATGCTACGCTAAGTCTGCATTTTGTGAGTAGCTGTAACCAGCAAGTCATGAAGCCGTTAATCTTTACAAGATGTTCAGTGGAAAATTCTGCATCCCTTTGCTGACTCTGCTGCTTCCTGTATCAGCTCCATGTTGTGTGTATGTTGCGTGTGCAGAGGCAGGTGTGAGCAAAAGGGGGGCAGGATGGAGATAATAGCCTCTGCTAATCCCCCACTGGCATAATGTCCATTAGGAGTCAGTGATGTAAATTGGAGTCGAAACCCTGCTGTCTCGCTTCGCTCAAGGTCACAGAACCAGCTCCATGTGTCCACCAGTCTTTATCCAAGCGTAACTTGTTCATCATGGAGAAATGTAACCTGAATGTAAGTCTGATCTTCTGCCATACTATAGACTGGTATGATACATCAGTAAGATCTCAGCTCGTTCCCCTACTCCCCTTTTCAGATGCCACTAGGAGTATTGGCACTGGGCATTGCTTCAGAGTGCTTCTGCTTCCCAGCGTTACCTAAGAGGGATATATGTCCCTCTATAACTTGAGGTTCTCATAATTGTGCTCAAACTAGACATGTAAAGTAGACCATAGAAATATTTTTGCCCTCTTTACTTTCTCCTAATCCACTCATCAGCTCCTAGAAAGTTCAATTATTTCAAATTCGGGTAATTTCTAGTATTTTTCTCTCCAATTTGGGCTTTTCTTTTTGGAGAACCTCTGGCAAGCGTAGCCCTAGGAAGGTGCCTTTATTTAAGTGGTCTGTTACTGAGCTGACCCTCTGGCATGTTAGTCACAGGAAGCTGACAGCCACCCCCCCGGCAGGATCCTCCAACAGCCTTCTGCTGCCCTGTGTCTTGTTGCTGGTTGCTCTCCATGTGACTGTCCTGTGCAGGGTCCCTGAGCTGAACCGAGCCTTACTGGCACAGGGGCTGCACAAAGACAGCAAGCTTGGAGGCTAGTCTAATGTGTGATGCTACAAATGGCTTCAGCAAGCCAGTGGCAAGGGATAGTGTCAGTCACATTCAAAGGGCTCTGCCTCATTGCACTCGTAAGTTGCACTCAGCCAGTTGGCAGGTGATGCAGAACTGGGAGGAGCAGCTTGTACACCAGATGAGTGTGTTGCCATCCAGAGACACCTCGGCAGGCTGGAGAACTGCATGAGAGGAATCTTTTGAAGTTCATCTAGGGGAAATGCCAAATCCTGCACTGGAGGAGGAATAAACGCAGCAGTACAGACTGGGTAACAACTGTCTGGAAAGCACTTTGCAGGTGCTTGGAGGTTCCTGGTGGACGTCGAGTTGAACATGAGCCAGCAGCCGGGTCCAGTTATGGGCTCCCCAATAGAAGAAGGACATGGACATACTGGAGTGAGCCCAGGAAAGGGCCACAAAGATGAAGAAACTGGAGCATCTGTTGTATATGAGAACAGGCTGAGCGAGCTGGGACTGTTCAGCCTGGAACAGAGAAGGCTCAGGAAAGTCTTATCAATGTGTATAAACACCTGATCCCCCAGGCAGAAGACAGAGCCAGACTCACCTTAGTGGTGCCCAGTAACAGGAAAAGAGGCAATGGGCACAAATAGAAATATAGGGTTCCATCTGAACACAGGAAAATAATCTTTTCTTTTCACTGAGAGGATGACTGAGCACTAGCACAGGTTGCCTAGGGAGGTTGTGGAGTTTCCGTCCTTGGAGATACTCAGAAGCCATCTGGACACAGTCCTGGGCAACAGGCTCTAGGTGTCCCTGCTGGAGCAGGGGCGTTGGACCAAATGACCTCTAGAGGTGCCTTCAAACCTTAGCTATTCTGTGAAATATCTGCTACACTTTAATAATCTTATGCAGTTACACAAATAACTGCTCTTTCTTCTCTCCCCTCAAAGTGAATCTGAGATCTGTGTTACATCTTTACAAAGAGAATTTTCAGAAGGAAAGTTATGTACCATAACTCTATTAATTATGAGTCTTGGGAACACTTATTTTGAAAGGTTTGTATTTTACCGTGTTTCAAAGTTCTCTTTAACTTAGAATTACTTCTTGGTTGCCATCAGAATTGTTTTGGTCTTTTGCTCAAATTGAAAATATGTTTATGTTATCAAAACAAATGTCATTGTGAGAAAAGAACCAAGCATTGCCAATGTTTTTCATAGCAGTAGTATTTGATTTCACTTGTTGGGTGTCTGGTAAACCACTTCAGAAGAGAAAATGTCATTCTAACACATGCACGCACAGGCACACACACATATTTGAATGCCCACGTATTCAGGCTATATTAAATGTTCCTGCAGAACACGTTCAGGGTAAGTTGTGATCAATACAACTCAAGCTATCTGTTGCTGGTACTTCTCTAACCACACCTGCAGAGCTGTTTTGTAGAAACGATGTCTCAGTAAATATTTCCTTCGACCTGGTCCGTGAGTCACCCTGCAACCTGGGATCTCATCTTCAGTATACGAGCGTATCGGGAGTTTTGTGAAATAGAGGAATATACTGTATGTCTCGCAGTTATTTTTTTATTCACATCAAAGCCTTTGAGGTAAAAAGAAATATATTTATTTTTCTGAGGTAATATTTCACTCAGGAAAGAGCAATCATGTTCATCTTTTCCCTCTTGACCGGCAGATGCTGAAACTGTGAAAAGTAGAAGATACTATATGCTATGTGTAAATAAGTCTGTAACATTGTTAGTATGAGCTTTTTGTTCAGGAAATTCAGGGAGTTCAGATAAACAAGTGGGTTTTCATACAATATTTTTATATCAACTGTATCATATCATTTTACATCGAGTTTACATGCCACATCCTCTTTTTCTTTACAGGGTATATACCCAGTTACTTAGACAAGGATGAGCTATGTGTAGTATGCGGGGACAAAGCCACCGGATATCATTATCGCTGCATCACTTGCGAAGGTTGCAAGGTAAGTGGCACAGTGGGAAAGTGGGAATGAGAAATAGCTTTCCAGCTCCTCCATTTTACAGACTTCCTGAACTGTGCTGTCAAATAAAACAAAGACAGATTAGAAGCGAATAAGAACATCCAGTCCTGACGATAAGCCGTATCTGGCTATGCCGCTGCTCTTCATATGCATAAGGAATATAGTTGATTTTTGCAGTGTTTACTTCTGAAAAGAAAATGAGAAATTTAGATTTTTGTTGTTAGTATTTAGCTGTTACCTTTTTCGTTTCCATTTTTTAATGTTTCTTTGACCGTGTTCTCCGCTGGTGTACATCAACATACTCTCAGCAACTCCAGTGAAGCTGTTTATACAACAGCTGAGATTTCTACCTATGGCCATGAAGAGTCTGTAGCGATTAACAGTGTTCCAGTGCTTCTTCATCGTCGTTGTGAAGAAGCAAGAACCAAAATCTCTTCCGCATGCTCATACAACAGTAACATCCATCACTTTGGGAAGCATTGGCACCTAGTTAAAACAATTTCAAAAAGGTTTTGACTTCTTGTCAAGCATATTGACATGTGCTTTGAGCCCTAAATTGCATCTCCAAAGCTACATGCAAAAGTAAAAAAGAGATTGCTTTGGGCAAGTAAATAAATTAAAAAAAAAATAGTAACACGATCAGGCACATTTTACATTATTTTACTGCCATAAATTTGCCTGAATAGCTTGAGATCCTGTAAGAAAGCTATTCTTTCCTGCAGAAAATAAAAAATTATTATGTTTTTCTAAACAAATGGAACCACACATGTCATGGCCTAGCATCATGGGACTAAGCCACAATAGTCGTATTCTGTTCATCCCCAAAGTCTGGAATATTTGGATCTGAGATTTTGGGTTTGGATTGGTTTTAGAGCTCCACATCACAGTAACTCTTGTGTTGAAGTAGTTCCTTCAGTTGTACAGCATTGCCCTAAGTTACATTTAGGAAATGCACAAAGACTTAGATATCCTATGTATAGCAGCTTTGTGGTAATATTCGTAATGATTTTATGCACATACATACATAATACGTATGAAAAAGTATTTATATCTGAAAAAAAATGAAACTGAACAAGTAATTCTTACACATTAGCATCCTCTATAGCAGATGATAACAATACGTAAAATGTATAAATATGACTTAATTCAGATATATGAAGAAGTAAGTGACACTGTGGCGTTTTGAAATATCTTTTGCTCCCATCTGAACAGCTGTATTTCTCGACAGCTTTCCTACTAAGGTTTTTGTTACTCCAACTGAAGTATCTCTTTTTATGCCTACTAGCTATTTTAAAGATACAACATACAAAATCTACTTTTATCTTCAGATGCAGTTCTTCTGTCTGATGTACAATTTGAAATAATGCTTATGTGCACAAGGAACTGAGCTAGCAATTTGCAAAAAGTGATTCATTTCTTTCTCCTACTTAGAGTTGGCTTACAAACAGACAGTTTTGTTTTACTTTTCTTCTTGCAAGTGTATTCATTATACAAGATGGGGTTTTTTGTGTGGACAGTTTCAGCCCATGCCTTGGAGGTTCTGCATACATGTTTCAAGTTGTATGATTTATCAGCAAAGTTTTTTGTAATCAATTCTTAATGGATTTGACATTTACTAGTTACTTCCACTCAAAATCTCTTTAACTTTATAACAGCATTAATCAGGGCTGTTTTGCCAAATTTGCTTTGGCAAGTGCTTTCATGAACAAAGCGTCTTCACACATGATTTCTGAAGAGTAAATTGTAAGGAATTTAAACACAAATAAATCAACAGGGAGTTCTGACGTCACTGAAATGTTTCTCCAGACTGTACCCATTGCGTCTATTGCTATATAAGTGCACAGTAAAGGAATTTAGAAAAGAGTAGTTGCCTTACAATAAAATATGCTTTCTTTTATTGATGAAAATAAGACCTCTGTGATGAAGTGTTTGGACAAATATAGAGACCAGCTTCTTTATTGCATTGTATCTAGAGATGATCAAAGAGGTTTTTTGCAAACTGTTTCTGAGAAATGCAGAGAAATGGAAAGATGAAATGTGCTGGTCACAACACCAGCAGTGAAAAGAGAGCCTTGCCACTGTAAAGCTAGATCTACACTAAGACCCATGTAAGATTTGGAAAGCAGAAGTCCAGTACCACTTTCTGGGATTCATAAGAGATTTTTCCATCTTTTGCCATAACTAGAGGTTACCCCGTGCCCCTGGATATCCAGAGCCATCTTTGCTCATCAGGGAGAAGAGGGGCAGGTTGTTTCTCTAGAAATTTGATGGGAGGTTGAGAGTGGATCCACATCCAGTTGTTGGGTAGATGAGAATTTGAGACCTGATCCAAACCCCACATAAGGACATCTTGCCTCTGATTTACTGAATTTTTGCTCAACCCAACAGGTCCCAGTCTTGCAAAGGCTCACACATGTGTTTTATGCAACTCAGTTTAATTGAGATTTCAGGCTTTTTGTTATTAAGGAAGAAAGAGTTGTGCTCTTAGGTCAAGCTGGATCTTTTAAGTAAAACTCTAATGAGGACAAGGCTCTTTATTTTCTTCACAGGAGTTAGGAGCTCTAGCTCAAATACAGACTTATTCGTACATCTTAATTCAACATTCTGTGTTAAAAGAAATTACACACTGCTATAAGATTTTACTGGGTGTTATTTAACATGATTAAAAACAGACCTTTTGCCTAGTGAAGTGAAGACACTATTCATTAAATTACATCCCAGCTGAAGAGTCTATTCATTAGGTAAAAATCTCATCTCACTTGAGTTTTGCCATTGTTTTCACTGAAACCAAAGCCATTTATTGTGGTCTCAGTCAAACAGGACCGGGGTCTCAGTGTGGTCTCTATGTGAAGGTGGTCCCAAGCTGCGCTGCTAAATGTAGACAGCTTTAATGGTGAAACTTGAAATTAGAGTGAAGTCTAAATTTCTTCCTTTACAGCCTATCTTGTCTTATTACTGTAGTCTTGGGAAGTTCATCCAGCTCTTGCAGCAGTCAGTGAGAAAAGTCATGTTAAAATTAATATCAAGATTAGGTCCATAAGGTTCAGAGATAAGTTGTATCTGCTTTCTTTACCTAAGGCCAGGGTCTGTGGGGCGTATAAATCAGCCAATTCAGTGGAGCTACATTAGCTTGCATGAGCTTAGCTTTGCAATCTAAATATATATTTAGATATATATAATAGATTTATATAGAGAGAAATCTTTTTTGGTGATTTTTTTTTAATACAGAGGTCTGTGGTAAATACAAATTAATTAATCTTCTTAGAAATACAGATAATTTTAAAATTATGGATCCATTATTTAGAACCAAACTCAAAGATTGGGTAAGTTGTGTTTGCAGAATTCTTAGTCTTGCCCAGATTTGGTCAGTTGATTGGTGGTTGTTTGGCTGTTATTTGGCTTTGATGGAAAGAAGATGTTAGAACTGTTTGGTTTTAATCCTTTAGTAGCACATACACTCCACCATTCTTACTGTTTGCAGAAGCTATCCTTTAGTTGAAAGTATGTATATGCTTCTTATTATCCCTCAAAATGATGATGTAATTTAGAAGGAGGTTCAAAATAAACTCTGTAGTTCAAATACAAAAACATTTAACACACAGAAACATAAAGACTTTGAGAAGACATGTAGACAGTATTTGTCCCTCAAGACAGCATTCCTTATGCCTTTACTTATGTAAGATATCTGTATTTTTTAATTTTTAGGCAGGAAATGTTCTGTGAAACTCAGAAAATAAATACCATACACTATAAAACTTGTTTGTTCTTTTCCTCTTTGAGAGTTTTGTAGAAAAAGTATATTACCTTGCATCCTTAGGTATATTCCTACTAAACCAAAGTGTCTCCTAGTCTGACAAAATTGCACAATGCTAATGCTTTCCAATGTATTTTTTTATTGCACTTAGGGTTTTTTTAGAAGAACCATTCAGAAAAACCTCCATCCAACCTATTCCTGTAAATATGAAGGAAAATGTGTGATAGACAAAGTAACAAGAAATCAATGCCAAGAATGTCGCTTCAAAAAATGTATCTTTGTTGGCATGGCAACAGATTGTAAGTATATTTTTCTGTTTCTTTTCTCTTTTTTTAATGTGTTTTTTGCTTAAAGTATGTTGATTCATAAAGATTGTTAAAGTAGAGCAGAACTGCCCGTACTTTTTTGGTTTTAATAATTTGTACTGGGGAATTATGCTCCTTGCATCAAACCGCTTTCATAGGGCTGTAATTTTTTGTTTATCCTTCACCAGACTGCACCTTCTTCTGGCCTTACCAGGCTGAGTAACAGTAGGAATGTTCACTCTTCAGAGGAGAGAAGGGATAAATGCATCTGGATGGACACTGCTTGAAAAAAAAACATCTTGTTTAGAAAATTCTGGAGTATGTGAAATTGAATGTCGTTGTATGAGTCATCCTGCAGTTGTTTGTTTTATTTTTAGCCCTGAAGAAGTTATCTACTGCAAAGAATTCGACTCTCATTCTAAAGAACTAGAACATATGGCAGCAAGATTAACCCTTAGTGGTCTTCTTTTCCTACCATTGCACAGGGATTTACACTGATAACATCAATTAGTGCAAATGGGAGGAAGTCACATAAATCCCCCTGTGCTTTAATGTTAATGGTTGTTGCCAGCATAATCCTCTGCAGAAGAACTGACAGGAAAACAGGCCCAATAAACAACAGAAAAATATTCTAACTTGGTGTTTTTCATTGGTAACGTAATGCGTAACACCGTCTTCTGTCTAGAGGGAAATAGAAGAAATGACACGATTTCATTTCAGCCAGGTAGACCTTGAGGAGAGGAGTTGCGTAACTCTGGGTCACCAGCTCTCACCCAGCCCAGTGTGATGCAGCAGGCAGTGGTGAGCATCAGCCAGGTAGTGGCTGTAGAGAGTGAGAAGTTTCTCTGAGTCTTAGTCTGACCAGCAGATACCAATGCCATAGAGCTGATGCAGCCTTGATGGGCTGCACCTACGTACGCGCCAAAGGAGCTGTCACTGAGCACGGCAGACAGACCACCTATCATGGAGTCATAGAATGGTTTGATTAGAAAGGGACCTTAAAGGTCATCCAGTTCCAACCCCTCTGCCATGGGCCTTCCACTAGATCAGGTTGCTCAAAGCACCATCCAGCCTGGCCTTGAACACTTCCAGGGATGGGGCAGCCACAACTTCTCTGGGAAACCTGTTCCAGTGCCTCACCACCCTCAGAGTGAAGAATTTCCTCCTTAGGTCTAATCTAAATCTATTCCCCAACTCGAGAAGGCTTTCTCTCACCTCTGAGTTGAAATGTGTGAACAGAAGCCTGTAAGCAGGGCTTTCAGTGCTCCTACCTGCCTGCCACCAGTTGTGGATCAGAATGGTCCTCCTCAGCTAAAGCAGGCCAGTCTGTTTAAATGGCCTACTCACATTTGTGTGGAAAACAGGATAAAACTTTCTGTGGTGGTCAGAGATGTGCAGACAAGGGCCCTGTGGGTCTAGCATCACAGGAAATAGCGGGACTCTAGGAGAACGCTACAGAGTCGTGCCATTTGTAGGACTTATGGAAAGAGCCAAAGGCAGATTGTTTCTGAGCGTGTCAACAGGTAGTTGAGCATCCTGTGAATAACTACTCCCACTTTCTTAAATACACGTTACCTTCTGCCGACTTACAAGAACACATTCTACACAATTCAGAGCAGTGAGCGTGCTGATACTACTTTAAAGAAAACAAAAGTGCATCTTTGCCAACATGGACTACTCCAAGTCTGTTAGAGGAGTGTTTTTTCTGAGTCATCATAAATCTTTTATGTATTCGTTTTATTGGTGGAATAAGCCACTGTTGCCAGAAGGGTAAGTTGTTCTTTGCAATCCAGGCTTCTGAGAAAATGGGATTTGGGGAGAGAAATGAGAACTGCATCAACTGTGGGTGTTACCAAAGTACTTCTTAACTGATTAGTTAAGACATTTGTAATTAATTAGTACCTCAGGCATAGAAAATACCAAAGTTTAGTCAACCTTAAAAAACTTCCTGACATTTTTATATGCTTTTCCCCCTGCTAGTGGTGTTGGATGATAGCAAGCGGTTGGCAAAGAGGAAGCTGATAGAAGAAAATCGAGAGAAGAGACGTCGAGAAGAGCTGCAGAAAACAATCGGGCACAAACCAGAGCCAACGGATGAGGAGTGGGAGCTCATCAAAATTGTTACTGAAGCACATGTGGCCACCAATGCACAAGGAAGCCACTGGAAGCAGAAAAGGAAATTTCTGGTAAGGACTGTAGCCTTTAACACTGCTCTTGGAGCCAGGTTACAATTCCCAAAATTGCAACCCCAAAGAGGATCTGTCTGCCAGTGTATTGACATATATGAAATATGCATCATTTTTATAATTACTACTTGCTTATTCTTGCCTGAAGCTCAGTGTTTGATCAGACCATGTATTTCAAAACATAAACGACATATTGCTGAGTTAAGGCTTACCCAGCTGGATACTTTTAATGTGCTATGATCAGAAAAAGTAAACGTATTATTTCGCTCCTGATCAACAGGAGTAGCAGTCTATAATGCGTACCATATCTTTTTTTATATATTATATCTAAGGATAGTTGTCTGTATTAGGGACTAGCATACAACCTATTGTAAGTGTGAACAATGTAAAGTTTTAGGTGAAAGCTGGTATTTTATATTAATAACTTGTGTTTTTTACTTCCTTGTTCCAAAGTGAACTCATTAGTTAAAATGAATTCGATAAAGAAAAAATGAATTTTGATGAAAGCAGGATGATACATACACTATAGTGTTGAGATTGCAGACTACACAATGACTTAATTTTTCATCCTGTAACCAAAGATCAGAAAATAAATGGTGATTTGTGATGCTCAGCCTTAGAAAAGGATTTATGTGATTTTTCTAAATCGATTTTTAAAGGAAATAAGTGCAGAATACAAAAGCACAAAAGAGGGATTATAGACTGCATGTCAGGAATACACGGGGGTCTTTAACAGTCTATGTATACCAAATCAGATAAACAACATTCATTTTTTTTCAAGCCTAGGCTTCTGCTGCCTAATTCACCATGGGAATCTCAACCCACTGTTAGATTGCTAAGAGAAGTTATATATGCAAACTAGCTGATCCCTTTTATAATGTTTTGTTAATTCCAGTGGCACTGTCTAAATTTCTATATGAATGGCTGCATGTTCATAGCAGTGTGTGGTTGGGAAACCACAGCCCGTGATCACTGGTGAGAAGCAGCAGAGCACTTTCCAGTGGTGCTGTGCAGCCAGGTTTGCCGCCCTGCTTTTAGCAGACCAAGAAGCAGCTGCAGTAGTGCCTTTAGTTGTTTAGACAGGAGTGCTGTTCTTTGAGTATCACCTGGTTTAGGATATAGCATGGGGGGCTTGAGGTTAGGGCTGGGAATGAGGACATGGGCAGAAAGCTGGTAGGGACTGGGACACATAAAACCTGGTCGTTGGGAGACTTCAGGCTCTGGAGACAGTCACAGCAGAGGGGGAGCCTTCAACAAAGGGTGCCCAGAGGCAGGGCATGAGGTGATGTACTGATGGGAGAGAGGAGAGATGGAGCAGAGGCAGGGGTGGCAGCGTAATGAGCAGTTCAGAAACCAACTGTGACTTCCACAGCTGGTTCCTAGGCTGGGCCAAACTGCTCTGGGTGCAGCCCTTGCTGCAGGGCCTCCTGGTTCTTTACAATGCTCCCATGCTGAAGCCCAGTGGTTTCAAGGCAAACGAAGGGAGCTCACTGATGCCTTGCAGTGAGCACAGAAGGAGAAGTCTGGGATAGCCTTCCAGCCCCAGGTGAAGGGCTTTGAAAGCCCCTGCCACTGTTGAAGAGCAAGAGGAGCTGCCTGCACACCCCAGGAGCTGTGGGTCAGTCCTGAGGCAGCTGAGGCTGGTTCTTCCACAGCAGGAGTTCCTTTGAGGTCTGGACTTCTTTTCCTACTGAAGTGAGTTAGGTGGAAAGGGCTGTCCAGTTGCATGCCCTTCTGGAACGTGTTAGCTTTAGCTAGCGATCCTGGCTTCTTTTGACTTTCCTAGCAAAATACTGTATTCTCTCTTTCTCCCTAACAATGTTCTGCATGGTTTTAAGCATTTGGTCATCTTGCTTGGAAGTGACGAAGGTTGTTTATCATTAGCACATAGAGAATGTGGTTTAATTTCCCAAGATTCAGGGAGGGAGGGAGCCTAGAACTGAGATTATGTGAGTTTTTTAGTAGGAACCATCAGATAATTGAGCCCAGTCCTTTTCATTGTTCTTTTACAATTGGTGCTTGCTTTATTAACACATTGCTGAGTTTTTTCTTGAAATAAGCTAGATTTGGATTCAGATTGGTGGCAGAGCTGTGGAAGGATCTTTTGTGATGTGTTGCTTTAAAAAACTGCCAAGCACAAGTTTTTATTATAGACAGCACTTTCAGCACCTGCCCTGTTTAAATGCCCTTATATAAATGTCATTAAGTCCATCAGTCTTAAAGGCCGCCTTCACTCGGTTTTATCTGGTTTTTGACTCTCCAGTGTGAACAAAATATAACCTCTGCATGGTGGTTGGCAGACCTTTTACAACTACAATGCCACACTTAGCTAATAGAACTGCTTTCATATGCCTGTTTTTAAAATACACAGTAACATTGACGAGCTCTCATAAAATTAGGTGAACAACTTGAAGTGAAGCTGGAATAAAAAAAAAAACATATTCATCTCAGATTCTACTTGGATCTATTTCATTGTATATTCCGATTGAAATTCTCAAAACATGATTTTTTTCTCTTTTGAAGAAACCTTGGCCTAAGTCAAGCAGAAGGTGATTTTCGACCAAAATTTCACCCAGACGAGTTCAAATTTTAGTCACTTTATCCAGACTAGCTTTGCATTAGCCCATTCTTAGTCATCAGTTGTTTTACCGTAGTTTTAGGAACAGGTCTTGGCAGTTGCCTGGAGCTCTGTGATACCAAGCAATCTGTTCTGGGGAGGATTTCAGAACTTTGAGTAGATGAAAGAGCTCAATTCTGCAAAGCTCTGAGCATCTTCTCGTGGGCAACAAGTCACCTCAGCTCTCTTCACTTTTAGAGAAGCTTGAGAGTTCTCAGCACCTGTAAGAAACAAGAACATGCCTATATTTTTAAGCAAAAAATGCATATGCTGCACCCACAAAATATTCAGATACAGGCACAGGGAAGGAGCTGCATATGCACAAAAATGCAGCTGCCCACACAGGATGGGTAGCAGCATGCCCATCACCCATTCCTCTGTGCAGTCACCTCTTTCACAAATGCCTTACAAACAAATTTGCTTTTTGTGGTGTAATGGACATTACTTATAAAGTGAATAGTGTTATTTTTTTATTTTAGCATATCTTCTGTAGCCAAGCAGGACTTTTAATTTAAGAGTATGAAATACTTGCTGTAAGATAGATTGTTCCTTTAAATATCTTTGTTTATATCCTTAGCCAGAAGATATTGGGCAGGCACCAATAGTTAATGCCCCAGAAGGTGGGAAAGTGGATTTAGAAGCCTTCAGCCAGTTTACAAAAATTATCACACCAGCGATTACAAGAGTGGTGGATTTTGCCAAAAAGTTGCCTATGTTTTGTGAGGTAAGAAGACTTCCTTGCACTCCTCATTTATATGCCTATTGTTAAAACTATTTGAAATACTGCTGGCATGGAAGTAAAAAAATTCACTATGTTTAAAATGAGAAAAATTAAGAGACTCAAAATAGATGGGACTAGAATAATCTGAATTTTCCTGAGTTTTCTTTTTCCTGTGATTACTGAATCCTGATTTTGTTCATCTAGAAGTCATCATGGTTCATTAGGGACTCAAATGTGTCTTTAGAAGTGGCCTTGAACAAAGCAAATGAGCAAAAAGAGACTGTCTAGAAGCGTTTTTGATGTGTTTAATCAGATCTTCCATCACACAGTTCCCTCTGCTTTTTAGCTCTTTGGCAGGTACAGTTTTGGGGAATTGGATCTACACAGTAACAAATTCTTCAAATTCAGGAAACATCCCTGTCCAGGAAAGGCACTTGCCTCATTGTGTTCCCTAGGCATGCTTTTCCTGAATGGGGAGATTGTTCATAAAAGAGCCTGTAAAAGTAACGGATTGTCATTCCAGGTCGATACTCACATGTAAAATATGCAGTAAATAGACTCCGATAGACTTGCTTGCACATTAGGAGTACAGACGCTCTAGGTTGATCTCATTTATACTGCAGTATCATTTTTATTGAAGGACCAGATGCAATGGCTGATGATATTTTTTTCCTAACTTAAAAAATATTGTCAGAACTGCATACTGAAATAATATTTCAGCCCTAATAATAATTTTAAGTCTTGTGAGTCCCTTAGAATCCACAACCATGGGAGTTTTAGTATGAAAATAGCCCCAGTCCAGCCGTGGAAGGATGCCTGCCTGCTCACCCATGCTGCAGAGCAGCATTTGACTCTGCTGGCTAAATGCCAAGTGAATGACATTCGAAATGGGAGTGACAATGGTCATCAGGCTCCCTATCTCGGGAACAGTGTTTCTTCCTAATAACTAAATGTCAATCAGGAAGGAAGTTTAAGGCAGCCATAGAATTTTACTCTTCTGTGGCTGGCAGCTTTTCTTTAAGGTCAGTCAAGGAGAGCTATTTATGTCCTCTGGCACCTACAGAACAAGGAGAGGTAAATATCAATAGTTGGCATAGTGTAAATAGCTCTCCTTGGCTGACCTCAGCATTGGCTCCCTCAGCCAAGAAAGCATGAAATAGTGGCCAAGCATGAAGATTTTAAAATACAAGGAATGTGTCCGTAGATCAAGAGGCCCCTGCAGCATTCAATGTCTGAGGGAATCTGTCTCCTCTGTTTTGGCGTTTGTTGGTGGGAAGTTGCAGTGACATACCAAGGTAGTTTTTTAATTTGGAAAGCTTTGCCAGTCACACACAGTGCAGTGCCCATCTGACATCTCCTACCCCTTCTGGCTACCGTGGGCCCACTTGTGTCAGAGCTGGGCAAGAAGCGTAGATGAAGTCGAGGCGTTGTTGGGCAAGACCTCTGTAGGTTATGCAGCTCAGCTAGGACAGGCTTTGTTTACAGCTGAGCCACTGCGTAAACCTGACACCTCTATACAGAAAGGTGTGATGGCAGAGTGAGGGACAACTCCGTGTAAATGCGAAGGAATAGGATAGCTGTCCTCCGAGCTGTCATATAGCTCTTACTGTAGCATAAAGAAAATGACAAATGTCTCCTCCTTTTTGAGGGGTCACCGTCCTGTTAACTTTATTTCATTTATGGTTTTTAACCCTTATCTTTTTCTTAGAAGCAACACTGTGTGGGCTGTGGATTTGTTTATGAGAAAAAGCCCTCCTTTCTCCCATAGGAGCTGCAGTGAGACACTATCTCAGTTTTTGATTTCCACAGGGGCTCAGGCTGAGAGTGTAGTAAATCTCTACAAAGGAGAGGCATGGCAAGGAACATCCATGGCCACTTATACATTCATGGCTACTTTTCCTTCTTTCTCTCTTCTTTGGACACATGTGCAAGCCAGCAAAGCACTAAGAGTGCTGAGCTTAGTTTGTGTGCATCCGTTGGCCCGTGCCTCAAAGCGAGAATCTAATCCCTGAGTAATCGAAGTATAAAATTCCATTTACTTCTCAGCATTTCTGCTGTTGTTTCCTTCTTGCATTTCCTTCTGCTTAGAAGATGAAGACTGAGGAGCATTTAAGCAATTTGATGTGAGTTTGAGTGTCACAGGCATCAGTGGTTCCACGTTGGGTGAAGCTGTGTAAATACCCTTCTAGGCAATCAGCTCAGCACAGTTCCATGGTGCTGCATTACACGTGTTGGCTGTGAGTATGTCCTGCAGAGATGAGCAGCTCAAGTTCCTTCCTTTCGCTTTTTCTGCTTGCAGAGAGAGAAGGAAAGGAAAACATATGGCAGATAATCAGTCACATTTGTTGACCCCACTCCTGAGTGATGTGCGTGGGTAGCATTGAAACCTGTGTAGTGGGAGCAGAATTGGCTTTCAAGCCCTCTGTCTTTAGTAACTGCTGCTACTGGGAGATAAGACCTGAGGCTTGGCATCTGTGAAACAGGTGTCCCATTTATCCTTCAGAATTAGGAAAGCAGGTGAAGAACGAGTATAGTCAGATCAGCACTACCATAAAGTTTTAAGAAGGTTGAAGTAGCAAGAGAAATTCTCATTGGTTTAATGGCTCACTAATAAAACAGCTGAAGCATCATGAAGTATCTTCCCTACTGTTATCCATCTGTTTCCATTCCACCATTCTTCCTTCGCCTTAGTCATTTTTTCTTCATTCCTCTTTTCTTCTCCCTTCCTTTCTTTCATGTCCCTTTTTTTTCCTGCAGTTCCCTATTCCAATATCTCTTTGTGTTGCACTCACACGTCTCTTTCTCACCTCTCCCCTCTCCCCTATTTTTATTTTATTTTTATTTTTATTTTCATTTTCATTTT